CTTTGATGCTTCTCAGCTGGATGGCCGCTTGTTTATCTTCAAGCCTTTAAGACCCCAGATGCTATATCTTTTGATAGCCAAGCACCATTAGCTCTCTTCACCACATTTGCTTATGCACTGCTTTTGTGGAGAGCTGAGGAGGAAGGGATTTCTTTGAAAATTTTTCACACCTTGGAATGTCTGGTATCAGAGTGAACTATAATATAGGGAAGATAGATTTTGCATACCAAAGTTGGAAATATTCTAATCACTCTCTGAAGGCTATATTAGGTATATGGTCAATTTGAAACTCTATAAAAGAATATATGGTTCCAAAAAAGGAGCCTTCTTGACATCCTATACAGTATTTTTATGGTTCTAAAATGTACTGTAACTCATGTTATGCATTATAAGCATTTGACTTATGAACACTACAAATATGGACTTGTCTCTGGTTGCTTGTTTCTTTCCACACAACTCAAGCCAGTTGGATCAATAGAATTACTCAAAGCTAGGGGTAAACACAGTATCAACCAGTGTCCTTTAACCTCTCTGAGTTTTTCCCATAGCAGAAATCTGTCAAAAGTGGTGATCCTTTTGTTTATCTTAATTTTTCATCCATCATAGCATAGTGGGTTACGTGTTGGACTGCCAACAGAAAGAGCAGCAGTTCGAAACCCCAGACTCTCTGCAGGAGGAAGATGAGGCTTTCCCCTTCTATACTGAGTTCATCTTGGAAGCCCACAGAACAGAGCAGCTCCGCTGTGCCTACAGGGTCACCATGAGTTGGAACTAGCTCAGTGACATTGAGTTTCTCGGGTCACGTCGTAGCGTGCTATCGCAGCTCGGCCCAGTCTTTTCCCTTTCCTGTTTGCCCAGTCGACCCTTGAATCTTGCTTTCCCCTTTCCTCACCGTGAGTGTCTTTCTCTTTGTTCCAGGTGAGAACAAAAAGCCTTGTCATACTCACGTTGATAAGTATGAAAATGCTGGTAATCGTGACATTCAATATAAAGGAAAAAACGTGGGAGTTTAAAGTGGAGTGGAACAAAATGAAAGGTCAACCTAGTCTTAATTACCCAAGCTTCCTGAAGATTGAAAGGATCCCTTTGAAATGGTTACTTACTTTATGATCCATCACTATGCCCTGTAAATAGCTTTAAAAAAACCCAGCACTAGAATAATCAGATTTGTATCATATTCTGTTGTACTTGTTTTACCATAGTATTGTATTTCTATTATTTTATATTGCAGATGTTCCCTGTTTCAACTTCATCGGAGATTAAATTGACGCTTATAGGATAACCTGGAAATCTAAAAACCATTTGTCTCACTACTTTCATAAGGCAATATGGTCACGTCCCATAAAGCTGACTCATAGTGGGGCTATTGGAACACAGCTCAATGTAAGTTACAGACATACTGTGTTTTTGTCATTGTTATCCATTTTCTTTCCAGCTTAGGACACATGTCTGTTGGCATGCGTGCAGGTGTGTGTGTGTGTGTGTATACATATGTGCCTACACATGCACATTTTCCCCGTTCTGGGTCCATAGCTTCATTTATCCTTCCCTTCCTTTCTGCCTTCCTTCCTTCTTCCGTCCCTTCCTCTCATCCTTTGCTCCACATATTGAATGACGACTACGTCAAATGGGCAGTTCTCAGCCTGAGAGTCAAGCCCACTGGCTCCAGGGGGAGGCTCCAGTGGAGGAGACAGAAAAAGTTGTTCCGACACTTGTGAAGCGCTTACCCTGAGAAGTGCTGTGAAGGGCGATCACGCAGTACTCTGTGAGCCTGGAGCTGACTTCTTGGAGGGACGGATTCCCCCTCCAAAATCTGTGATGGGCTAGAAGTGAACAGAGCCAGAGAGGTGAAAGGCTGGTAGGAGAAGTGGGGAGCAGAGGGTAGAGTGTGGTCCAGACAGAGGGAACCGCATATGCCAAGACCAGCTTTGCTCCGTAAGGTACTTTTGGGCGACTCCTTTTTTCAGGAGTGGCCACTGGGTAGCTTCTCCCTTGAACTGTGCAGATGCAAATGGATGTTCATCGAACTGGGAAGCAAGAAGACACGTGTATTCTCACGAGCAGCTTGACTGCTTCTGTGTTTCAGGTATGAAGTACCCCTTAAGCCCTGACAACCCCCCTGAAGATGGAATTATGAATATGGCAGCCTTTCTGCGGGGCTTTGAAGACAGAGGGACAAAGAACGACAGCCTGGAGGGCCAGCTGGGTAAAGAGAAGAAGAAGATTCTCTTCTCTTTCTGTGAGGTGTGCAACATCCAGTTGAACTCCGCAGCCCAGGCTCAGGTCCACTACAATGGCAGATCCCACCGAAAGCGAGTGAAGCAGCTGAGTGATGGGCAGCCACTCCCCCCGGCTCAGGGCTCCGGGCCACCGCTGGCCAGTTCCAGCACCGACACCAGCACAGGTAGGAGGGAGCCAGGCTGGTCTTTCCCCTTCAGCACAGTGGTGCGTGTTCTCTTTTCACGACAGCCTCAAACTGGAGCTGCTTGTCCCTGCTCAGCGTATTTCTATTTATTACACCCATCTCTCTCCATCTTTGTTTCTCTATCAACATTTCATCTCTGGAACCACAGACGTCCTGTCTCCTCACCGTGTGTGAAAATTTCCCAATGTGTTTTGAAATGTGTTTTCAATAGACCAGTGGTATCAAAACTGTCTTCCCCCTTCAGGAAACCAGGTTTCCTTCGCTTTCCTTCATCTGCTTTCTATTGGATCACATGCTATTAGATATGGTATAAAAAGAGCCAGACTCTGTTTATAACCCTTCTTCATTCAGGAAAGGAGCTGTGATCTTGCTCAGTTGTCTTCTTTGATGTGGGTGCCTGCGACGTGCCGGTAGTGTTCTGACCACAGGAGCAGGCACTTCCCAAGCCAACAATGCTCAACCCCCGGCCCTGCATCCTAGGCACCAGCGTCATTTCACTTGCCTCTCACTCTCTCCCACGGGAAGAGACCTTGGTCTCCTGGCATCTGCACTGGCTTCCGAACAGTCTTGTAAACCTTTTATCTTATCCTCGGACAGCTCTTCCTCCTCCACTTCCCCGGCTGTTGAATACCTTCCCTGTGGCAGAGCTAAAGAAAGTCACAACAGTTGCTGTTCTTTGTGAGGGGACAGCTCTGCAGATATGTGGTCCTCCTCCCCAGGTTTACATGGGAGGTCCAAGACAAGGCTCCTTCTGAATGTGGTGGGGGAGCTCCAAATTCCACACCAGCAAATGGTGTTCTGGTAACCCGAGGCCTCCTCCACTCGGTGTTAGAGGACAGAGAAGCCGCTTGTTGACATTTCACTCAGCGACGTGACAAACGGTCCTCGATTTTGTGAAACTGTGCCAGGGTCCACATCAAACTTCAGTCAGAAGTGTGTGGGTGTTTGCCTGTACTCTAAATATCACACAAAAACCCCCAAACCAAACTCACTGCCATTGAGTCAGTGCTGACTCCTAGAGACCTCTCTCTAGGTTTCTGCGACCAGAACTGTTGTCGGGAGGAGAAAGCCCTGTCTTTCTCCCTCGGAACTGCTGGTGGTCTCAAACTGCTGCCCCTGGGGATGGATCGCTGCCCAATGAGTGACCACAACACCACCAGGGCTCACTTATCTCCAATGTCCAGATTAGGATCAGAGACACAGTGGCCAGTCCAGGGCCCCACCCATATTCAATTAAGAATGGATTCATTGTTGTTCATCACTCTTCTGCAGCTGTTCAGTACAGCACTGCTGCAATTCAGACCTATTTGTTATAAGGAACCCTGGTGGTGTGGAGTTACGCATTGACCTGCTGACCACAAGGTCAGTAGTTTGAAACTACCAGGCACTCTGCAGGAGAAAGCTGCGTCTTTTTCCTTCTTATACAGTTGGAGTTTTGTGAACCCACAGGGGCAGTTCTACCCTGTGCTGTAGGGTCGCTGTGAGTTGGAATCAACAGGGTGGCAGTGAGGTTTGGTTGCTCACTAGTACTTGCAATTGAAGCAAACAGTCTTACTTTGATGAGTTTTTAAAACCCAAACCCAAGCCTACTAGTATCAAGTTGGTTCTGACTGATGGATACCTGTGTGTCCAGAGTACAAATGCGCTTCACAGGAGTGTCTTGGTTTTTATCTTCATGGTAGCTGTCTCCAGGTCTTTCTTCCTTGGTGCTGATGGGTGGGTTTGAAAGCCAACCTTTAGGTCAATAGGTGATTGAAAGCAACCTGTCCCAGTGAGGGATCTTGAAAACACACCCGGAATGTTATGGTTGTGTCCTATCCATAAAACACAAACTCGTCCCGAAGTATAATGCAGTCTATTAACATGTTTTAAACGGACAAGAAAACAGATATCTTTACAAGATGTGTGCTAGTCATAGGGACCTTTTTTTATGAGCAAGTATTCATTCTCAGAAGATTTGGAGTTAAGCAAGCCTCTTAACCACGGAAGGTGGTGTGGTTAGGTGCCGTCGGGTCTATAGGACCGACGTTTGCCCCAGTGCGCCGGGCTGCTCTGCTGTGGGAAGGACAGGCAGTGTTTCATTCGGTTGCCCACAGACTTGGTCCACAGTCTGTGTACCACAGCACGGAGCGCCGCCTTCTTTCCTGCAACAAGCAGCCCTGTGTACTGGAGCACAACACTGCTGGGCTGAGAGCCATCCTTACCATCGTCCCTGTGCCTGTGCCCGTTGCCGCACTTACTTTGTCCACCCGTCTCTTTGAAGAAGGGCTTCCTCTTTTTCGCTGATGCTCAACTTCATCATCGTGATGCCCTTCTCCAGGGACTGGTCGCTCCTGACAACATGTCAAAAGTACGTGAGACGACTTCTGGCTGAACCACTCTGGCTGTACTTCTTCCGGGACAGACTTGTTCCTTTGGTAATTCATGTACATTCAACATTCCCCACCACGTCAAACACCAAGCACACTTCTGTCAACTTGGTTCTAACTCACAGCGAACTTGTAGGACAGAATAGAACTGCTTCCTGGAGTTTCATGACTGTAAATCTTGATGGAATGTAAATGACTAAATCTTCATGGAAGCAGGCTGTCTCATCTTTCTCCCACGGAGCCACTGGTGGATTTGAACTGCCGATCTTAGGGTTAGTAACTGAGTGCTTAACCAGCACACTGCAAGAGCTCCTCTAGATGAATGACAGGCACCTTAATTATTAAAAATGACATTTCTAAAGGAGACTTAACACTGGTAAAACTCATCTGTGATACAATGCAAAGCTAACTCAAAAACTCACTGCCACTGAGTTGATTCCGACCCACAGGGGCCCTATAGAACTGGATAGAACTGCCCACTTTTCTGAGACTGTAGCTCTACCCTACAGGAGTAGAAATCCCTGCCTTTCTCCCTCAGAGAGGCTGGTGGTTTTGAACTACTGACTTTGAGGTTAGCAGTCCAATGCGTACCCACCACGCAGGATCTAAAGCAGCACCTATCTCGGTGCTAGTCCATGTGCACACGCTCGCCTGTCTTCTGATGGAGAGTCTCGTCAATGAGGAGCAGACCTGACCTTCGTTTATATTTCCAGTCACTTTCCTCAGCTTCGATCCATCAAGCTTCTGTTTCCTGCTGGGTAGCAGCTCCCTCAACCCACACCCTCTCAGCCCATAACTTCTCACTTTTGTATATTCAGAGGTGTCCTTTTGGTTTAGAAGATTCTGTTCTATTTATGTAGACATCCGTCTCAAAGCGGAATTAAGGATCGGCTACTTAGGCTGTGGTGCTGAGAGTGGAGGGCAGGGGCACCATCTGCCCACCCTCCCTCAACCCATCCCTGCACAGGCGGTGGTGAGCCATGGAGGGGGGAGGTTTCCCTGCCTCGGACAGCCTTCACAGGTTTTCAGAGCTCCTCTGGTTTGCAAGTTATTACTCTGTGGGTCACAGCTGATCCTGCCAGACCCTTGGATGAAGGACTCCCTCTAAATCAGCGGTTCTCCAAAAAAATCTTACCATAGTGAATAAGAGGGGGGAGTGCGGAGTGGAGATCCAAAGCCCATTAGTAGGCCACTGGAGATCCTTGCAGAGGGGTCTCGGGGAGGAGACCAGCCAGTCAGGGTGCGATGTAGCAACGATGAAAAATACAACTTTCCTCTAGTTCCTAAATGTTTCCTCCCCGCTCCCACTATCATGATACGAATTCTACCTTGCAAGTCTGGCTAGACCAGAGGATGTACACTGGTACAGATAGGAACTGGAAATCCAGGGAATCCAGGGCGATGATCGCTATAGGACCAGTGGTGTGAGTGGCGATACTGGGAGGGTAAAGGGAGAATGGGTTGGAAAGAGGAAACCGACAACAGAGGGGACGGACAACAGAAAAGTGGGTGAAGAGAGACGTCAGATAGGGAAAGATATGAAAAAATAATAATTTATAAATTATCAAGGGCTCATGAGGGAGGGGAGACTGGGGAGGGAGGGGGAAAATGAGGACCTAATGCCGGGGGCTTAAGTGGAGAGGAAATGTTTTGGGAATGATGAGGGCAATGAATGTACAAATGCGCTTTACACAATTGATGTGTGTATGGATTGTGATAAGAGTTGTATGAGCCCCTAATAAAATGATTAGAAAAAAAAAAATCAGCGGTTCTCAACCTGTGGCTCACGACCCCTTTGGGAGTCGAATGACCCTCTCACAGGGGTCGTCCAATTCATAACAGTAGCAAAATGACAGTTATGAAGTAGCAACAAAAATAATTTTATGGTTGGGGGGGTCACCACAACATGAGGAACTGTATTAAAGGGCTGTGGCATTAGGAAGGTTGAGAACCAGTGCTCTAAATGGTCCTTAGGTATTGGGGGCCTCTTGTTAAATTTAGCTGCACCTTCTAGCTTACCCTCACCTGGTAGCAAAGGCCCTATCCCTTGGCCCCGTGTATCTTTCTCTCCCATGGTGGTCATCCTGGAAAGGCTGCATTCTCTGTTCTCATCTAAAGACCAAGTCTTGGGGCTCCTGTACACATGTAGTAGCCACCTGACATCTGGCACCCCTGGTGGCCGCTGAGCACTGCTAGGCGTGCGGCAGGGAGAGTGAACTAGGTGTGAGGGGCTCTTCCACATTCCTCTTCCTGCTCAGGTCAAACAGGGGCTCTGGGCAAGTCCTGGACAGAAAGGGAACCAAAAGCCAAGCCCTCTTTCTGATCATTGTCTGGTTTTAAGGAGGAAAATAATAGCTCACCTCCACACCTGGGCGAAAGTGCTCCCGCAGCCCTCATCCTAGGAATGAGTTCCATTCCTAAGCCTGCCTCTGAGTCGGATCTGCTGTTGCTCATTGCTGGGAGCCGCCATGAAGTTAGGGTGACTCATTGATGACACTGCAGATGACAGAGTGAAACCCCGTGCTGAGCCCCCCTCACAACTGTGGGTATGGGTGAGACCACCATGGCAGCCACTGTGCCCACCCATCCCCTTGAGGGCCTTCCTCTTTT